CCTAGTACCAAATTCTTATACTTCTAATCATGCAGCCTTTTTACTTTGCTTAGAACATTTTTTGCTACACTCTACACTAGCTCTGCACCTTGTTATTTGTTAACTCCCACAGTCTAATTTTAAATTTAAGAAGATCTTCTTACTAACAGTATTTTAGCAACACCTCAAAATAAGAGGAAATCGGAATAAATCAATTATTGTTAATAATATGATAATTTTGTGTTGACAGGATTAATGTGAAAATTTATTACACTTCCCAACAGCCTTTGAGATGAGTAATAAAATAACGCATAATTCAACTTTTTTTTAACTTTTTCTTCATATAATGCAGTTTAATAGTACTAACATAAAATAAAAAATTCTAAGATGTATTAACTCTATAGACTTTCTATAAGTATCTCTACTAATTTGAAAAAGAAAAAAAAAACATTGTGCGTGTGTGTTTGTAGAGACAGAATAAATCTCGCACTTTTGGGTTTTCTAAGCCTTACACGAATTTTTAAGGTTTCTAAATGAAAATCCTTCCGTCTCGTGTTTGGTTGTGCATTATATAAAGTAAAATACAAAAAATAACGATTTGTCAATATGAAAAATCCAGAGAGGTCTATTTAACTAAATGCTAAAGTAATATTACGTCTAGTTATAAGAAGATAATCCAATAAAAATAATAAACTATATATTTTTTAATTATTTGAATTGTACTTTATTATACTTATTAAGAAAAACATAAGTAAATTACAATTTTTCTTAATAAATTATACTTTTATACACGATGGTTATCAGCAACGACAGTCTTTGGAAATACATTGAATAGATTATTAATGTCAAGTTTAATTGATTGAGTATTTAATAACGTTGCGCTAAAATTATCAATAAGGCTATTTATTAACAAAAAGATAGTTTTTGGAAATACGAGCTTGATTAATTGCAAATTGCTCTTTAAAGTAACACGATGACTTTTGGTAACGGACATCGTAATTTTGAACCTTGATCAAGTGACAAGGCCGACACATCAACTAGCATTTCAATGTTCCAATTTCTACTCTATCCAAAGTAAGGAGTTTGATTCTCAGACCTTACGTGTATTAGTCCTCTCTATACGGTGAATCTTCAGTAGAATCAAGTCTTGAACCTTTCGACTCGATAAAAGCAGTCCTTGAACTCACTACATGACTACTTATCTACCATGTCCTTTATAAAATGCGAGTTCGGAAACTACTATCCATGGAGTAAAAGATCTGTTATTCTACCAATTAGACTACCTTAACCACAATACATGAAGAAAAGTTTTTTTTGACTACTAAAACGAATTCGTTTTCTTCGCTTTTATCCTGAGTTATTTATATACTAGACGTAACAACCTATAGGACACTTTAAAAAGAATATAAAAGTTCATATTTAGCCATCTAAGGTACGTTTTCATATAACTGTTATTAAATCACTCAATGTTATATAAGAATTAAAGTAAGATGAAATATTGAGAAATGGACGATAGTAAACTTTTTCGAAATTAAAATTAAAAGAAACGATATATTATTAAATTTAATACATTTCACCTAAATGTAACTAAAAATAAAGCAATCGATAAAAATTGGAAAAGTGATCTGGTACTCCAAAAGTGATCTAATTAAAACAATAGCCCCAACGGTAACAAAAAAAAATGTTAGAGTTTGTCACATCTTTAAATATAAATGAAGGCATGTGAAATAAATTACTATAACGGGACATTGATGAACTACAAGGCAACTTATTGTTGCAAATGTGAAGCTTGATTGAAAGGTAATGTCTTCTTAACAAAAACCGTTATATCTGTCATCTTTTTTTTCACAATTATTAATGTATCTAGAAACTATCTGTATATAATACTTTTTTGAAGTTTTGACATTGTCCCCGGTCCTTTTCACGTACCTTTGACAACGCATGACTAGTCGAGGCAAACCCAACAGAATAGAATTCCAGTGGTTGTTGTCAACACTAAACTGTAATTACACCTACCACCTTTTCGTCAGAACGAAAATGATGTTTCTTAAATTGCTTTCTTTATCTTCGGAAAGAGATAAAATTTGCAAGGTGCCTTAGCGGGTGCAACGGTGTCTTACGGTTTCAACCTAATCTTTAATTGGATTACTTTCTTCAGTTCTCATCCCGCCAGCAACATCTGGGGATGATGTAAACAAGTCTATTACTTAAATGAACGTATAATTTTCAGATAAAATAAGAAATGGGAAAATCAGACATCAAGTAAATAAGTTATGGTTATGGAGGCACTACTTTTAAACCAAAACTCGTAAGCTCAGATGCTTTTTTTTCAAGTTATAGGACAATTCTCCGAATTAGTGGTTCTATTAAATACGTAGTACCCAGGACTCGTCTAACCTTAATATCATTTTTAAGTTGTATTTAATACTAGAATGCAAATTTCCAATTTGGTGCAAAAGACAAATTTGAACACATCTTTTTAATTTTGCTTTTCATGCAGAAGATATGTATAGTTGTAGAATGTATAATATCCTAATGGGATAAAAGTCATAGTTGTGCCTTGAGAAAGCTTGGTATATATTATAAAATCACTTAGTATTGAAAAAAAATATAGAAAATGAACAATTGCATATTCTTCTCGGCTTTTTGAAATTATTAAGGAGGACGCTCTAAAGGAGCTCTTGCATCGAAGAGTCGAGTAGTAATACACACTCACAAGTTACTGCGGATCATAAGTATATCTTCGAGTGCAAAATACTTGTGAGTCCATGAGCTCATCAGTCATACGTGAAGCAAACGATAACAAAACAATCCCTTCCGTGAAACAATCACTTCCATTGCAAAGATGCAAATACCCTGTGAACAGGTTGAATAACGGACGAGAGATGGATGACCACGACCCGTTCTTTTCCTGCGTATGTAACTGTGAAGGTGCGAGTCATCCTTTGAAATGATTTTCATTAAAAATACGACGAAAAAAAAAAAGAATCATCCGTCGAAACGCCAAAGTTTGTGTGATCCGTTCATCATTAATTAATTTTTCAGCCATTGTTACTTTCAAATACCCAGTTAATAAATACGAGACTCCAATTGAAGATGTGTAAGAAGAAGATGAAATTAATTTTCAATAAAAGATAGATAAGGAAGCTCTTTTTCGAATTCCACTTAATTCATCAAATTTAAATTCAGATCAGCAAATAAATTCTTAGCTTACCATTTCACTCTTTCAAATTAATTTACTTCACACAACAAGTCTGTTCTTATTTTAATACTATAACTAGAAATAGTTTTAATCGACAAAATTAATAAAGGTGCTATAATCGTAATTATAAATATCTATCCACAATTCGTTATCCTCAATCTCCCTTTATTTTCTTCAATTCTATTACATATATATTTTCTTATCAATTATTCAATTCATTGCACTTCTACTTTCATATGATTTACCTAACCATGTTTCAATTTAAATGGAAAGAATTGTACTGAAATCACACAGTTTACAATAGAGTCCAGAAGTGCAATTAAGAGAACATAGCGAATAGTCTAACGTCACAAGTTAAAATAGGTAATGATACTCAATCTGAGTTGTGAATTCCCTTAGTTCTCGCTCGTCAAAAAACCGGACAGGATATGATCTTGTGATTGCGCTGGAGTAATTAATTTGAAGCTTATATATCCGTCAGATAACCGCTCGCCAGCAGTCCTTTGAAATTATTTACATAAGGAACTTCCAGTGATTCATGTGGGTAGAAGAATTTACCTCCAACCGAATAAGTGAGGCCTACGGCACGCGGTGTTCCCAGGTGGGCACCCTCCCAAGTACTGACCGAGCCCGTTGATGCTTAACTTCGGTGTTCGGACGAGATCCGCTGTTTTCAGCATGGTATGGCCGAAGCACCGCGTGCCGTTGGCATCAACTCCGCCACATCGAGACAGAGGAAAATCCTTTCTCAGCAAAGAAATCTGAACTCTCTCTAATCTGAGTAGCTGTTTCCTGATTGGACAGTAACATTTCACCCTGTACAACTGTTCACCCCACAGAAAAACGCTCGATTTTCAACCCGATTCTCTTTTTTCATTTTATACTCTCAAGATTACCCAATTTACTTATTTAACTGCATCCTAATTTAATGATTTATTTTAAATACTCATGTTTCTTTTATTTTACTTAATTAAATTTTAAAATTATGCAAACATCAATTTTTAATCATGGGCAATTGGTACACGAATCAAGTTAAATTCAGATCGGAGATTAAAGCAATTAGGGCTAGGCACTCCAAAATAGAACTCACTACGAACCGCCAAAGTTAAAAGATAAAATACAAGTAGACAACGATGCCTGGATCCACGCCTGCGGAAAGAAAACCAACGCTCTCTTCCCATTTGAGCTGAGAATTTTCTAAGTAAAAAAAGGCCTATAGGAGTTGGATTGTCACAAATAGTTCTTTTGACGCGTTGAGTGGCTTGGCTCACAGATGTACACGCACCATAAGAGGGTGTGTCATTCACTTTATAACGTATAAAGGACTTAAAAGTACTTATGACAGCATTTTGCTTACAATTGTAAGACAGAGAATTTAAATCGATAATCAAAATAATTAAATAAAGAGTTGTAATAATATACCGTGTATACTATGTTTCTAACAAATAAAATTTTGAAGTATCTATTTAACTGAATAAACATTTTTGCGATTTATTTTTATGCTCTTTTCATCTAGGAAAATGAAAAAAAAAATTAAATCGAAATTATCTTTAAGCCTTTTTATACATAGTATTAAAAATTCACAAAAACAATTTTTCGAATACGTTGCCATAGAAACCATTCACCGACTAAAAAAACTGCGACAATGAAAGACAAAAACTTAAAGCTGATTAAAAATGCTTATTCATTATTGATATGATATACGAGTAAAAACCAACTAATTGCTTTTGGAACACATAAATAGAAAACAAATCACACTTTTGTTGCATTGATTAAAAGGTGCAATTCACGGCGATTTATGAAAAAAAGAGGTTCCAAAACTAAATAAAAGCTACAGTTTCCTGTCAGATATTCTATGACACTCCATGTATCAACACAGCTTATCGACCAAACGATATTTTTTCCATTAACTTTTATTTATTTTACAAGCCTTCTGTTCTTTGAGCTATCTGCAAAGCCACACATAATGAATCTTGATCAGAAAAAGAGAAAATCTGAATTTCTATTATGGTATCTGGACTTTTTATCTTTTTTTTTTTTATCTCCGAGAGGCAAAAATAAATAAGTAATGGAAAGATGGGGAGAAATAGCGCATTAATAATATAAAATAAAATAAAAGTCTTCTTTTTTTTGCGATTCTGGGGATACTCCTCTTCTAATGATAACAGATGAAAGTTCGTGACGGATATGGTTGTAAAAGGTGGGGGAGAGAATAAAAAAAAGCAGAAGAGTAAAAAATTGGCGTGGATAAAAAATCAATGTGTTTGCGTGACACACAGTTTGCTTTTACCCTCACTTTTTGGAAGCCATAGTTTTTCATCATCTGAGAATTGCCTCACTGTATTTAGTTCTGGAAAGAAAATGAATTTGATCCGAAAAAAATGAAGTATTGCTTTAAATTTGTCGAACGTTAAGAATAAACTTTAATCTCGAATGTCTCCGGTTTTAACTTTAAAAGATTATTTATTCATTTTAATCATTTTAAATATCACAGTTAGATATTTCAACCAAAAATGATACATTCATTTTAATTGAAAGTGTAAATTAAAGCGTAACACTGTTTTGCAACAATTTTCTTCAATCCTTTTTAAAAACTTATTTCTAATATTCAGTTTCTAGACAATGAGTAAGCATAATGCTAATAAATAATTCAATTGCATTAAAAATGTATCGTTATTCACACATGGGGAAGATCCCTAATTAGAATAATATGCCATCTGTTCTCCATCTGGTACTTTTACGTTTTAAGTTGCCAGTAATAAAATTGTTTTCATTTGAATATTTATTATTTCTGTGAATTTTTCTCTCTGTATCATTTCAATCTTCTTGGCAAACATTACTATAGTTTTTCAAACCACATCTGTTTATGAACGTAGATGACGTTCCTAAAGCAAATTTTAGTTAATATTGTATGCTGTCATCTAAAAAACAACAAATTTGACACTGATTTGCTAGTTAGTTTTAAATAGGCAGTTAATTGCTACTAAAACGATTCCTCATTCACAACTGATTAAAGTTAAGGAATAATTCATACTTCCCTTAGATAAATGATTTAAATTCATCATTTAGTGGGAATGAGAAAGCAATCAAGTAATGAGTTTAGAATACCAACTAAATGAAGAGCCTTTTGTCCAATTAAATCCGAATTTGTTTCAAAGAATGCATTTTGGTACCAGAAGAAAGCAAAGCCGAACAACTGACCACTGTAATTAAATAACAAATGTGTTTAGAATTTATATTGTTTTAATAACAGTTTTTAAACGGCAGATACTCTAGACCAGTGGCCCTGCAGTGGTCCAAACGGCTCCCCCCCCCCCCCAGTATCATTCAAGGGGTCCGAGGAAAATTAAAATTGATTTGGGGCTCCCTAAACAATGTCAGGAGGTCCGCGCAAGATTTAATACAAAATAATAAAATAGTGATCCATTTTTATTATAAGGGAAATTTAAATAAAAGGTAAATAAATAGCGGTTTTTACGTCTTGAATAAAATATAAATATAGGTGGGTACTTAAAATACAGTATGTTACTTAAGTACTGAGCGTTATCTAATACCTTTTGTGAATGAACAATGACAAAACTTATTTCCACTGATTTGAATTTTTGTATTGTTACGCAGATAATGTACTTTTGTTACGCAAGTATATTTGAATCAAATTGATCTCTTTTGAAAAATATTATATATCACTTTTCTCAATATAGTTACTAACGTTAAGGTATTAGTTATAGTATTATTAATAGTACCAACAATATAGAAATCCCTTAACGTTAGTTTTAGTATATTTGCATTTTTTGCATTGTTACACAGAGAAAGTAATTTTGTTAAATAAGTGTATTTGAATAAAATTGATCTGTTTTGAAAAAAAATTATATATCACTTTTTTCAATATAGTAATCCCTTAACAAGTAAAAAGTAATCCTTATATATATATATATATATATATATATATATATATATTGAAAAAGTAAAAAGTAAAAAAAAAAAAGTAATCCCTTAACGTTAGTTAAGGGTATACTATTTTTTATTAAAAATTTAGAAAGATACCACATTATTTTAATACGTATATTTTTGAAAGAAGTTAATTATTGAGAATTTATTTAATTCAAAAATTCTATGAATTTTTTTTCCTTACGTCAAATAATTAATTCAAAAGGGCTTTACTTTAGCATTCCATTGAAAAAGTTAGTAATAATTAACAGTAGTTTGCTGCAAACAAAACATTTGATACACAAATTTTCTTACATCTTTTTTTGCCCTTTTTAACACATAATAGTGTGAGTGAGTCGAAGAAAATGCCGACTATACAGTGTTGAATTTTTTTTTTTATTTTTGTTTTATTTCATCACCAAGAAATTGTACTTTACCTATGTGTATTCTATGTTATAATACTATGTCAAACGATTCAATGGAATCTTCCAAGCTTAAGGATCATTTAATAAAAGTCCATAGTGATAAAAAAGTTAAGGTCTTACCTTTTTCTCAAACAGTCAAAGAATTATATATGAAAACACCATCACTGCAGCAATTCATAGGGACATCCTCTAAGCGAGATGACGATGGACTGCGTGCTTCTTATAACATTTCTTTATTGATTGCAAAGAACGGAAAGCCGTACACTATTGGTGAAGAAGTTATTTTACCACCTGTAAGTGAGGTAATTCGCACCGTGTTACACAAAGCAGCTTTCGACATTATAAATTTTTTTTTACTGAGTAATAATAAGGTACAAAGAAGGATTAACGAAATGGCTCATTACGTACAAAATTCTGTATGAGTAGTTAAAATATCTGAATTTTCTATACAGCTTGACGAGTCCACTTTACCAATAAATGAAGCTTTACTTTTAGCTTATGTAATATTTGTAAGAGAAGGTAAATGTTTGCCAATAATTGTTCTTTGCTAATTGTTTAGAAATCGATACGAAAAATAAAAAAATATTTTCTAAATCATTTTTTTTAGCTTTTACATCGAAAAAAATCTTTTTTTTTTATGTAAAAGCTATACCTTTGACTAATATCATTTCTGTTGGTATTGACGATGCTACGGCAATGACAGGAAGATACCGAAGCTTTCTGGCATACTTAAAACAAGCTCTACCGAATGAAATTTTGGTATAGTGTGTCATTCATCGATATTATTCAGTCGCAAAAAATCTTAGTGAACGTTTGCATGGATCACTAGATTATGTCATTAGAGCAATAAAGTCAAAAGGAATGCCTTTGATGAGAGATTATTTGCTCAACTTTGTTTGGAAAATGGTGAAGACTATAATTGTTAACTACTACACACAGAGGTATGTTGGTAATCTAAAAAGGCATATTTAAATCGATTTTATGCACTCTTTCATTTCGTGTTGGAATTCCTGGAAAGCAAAGACAATGTGATTTGCTCAATTTAATTAACTCAAAAGATGACATCGCCTATATAACTGATTTCCTTGCCAAATTTAACGGAACTAATTTGAAACTACAAGGTGACCAATTAAATTTAATCAAAACTAAAAGAGGAATATCTGCGTTTGTTGCAAAACTTTTTCTGTACAAACAAAACTTGAGAATAGGAGAATGTTCTCAGTTTCCAAATCTTTCAAAATTTCAAAATAGAGATTAAGATTTGTTTGCTTACTTAGAACACCTAACGGCTTTTAAAACAGACCTGAGCTAAAGATTTGAAGACATTCTTCACTTGGATA